ACCCGCTTGGATAGTACAAAACCAGAGAGCTTTTAATTACCCTATCAAGTATATATGCAATATGGCTGGTTATGGACCACGCCTACCACGTCATAACGCGAAGGCGGCAAATTTTGGAATGAATATTAGAATTTTTGATTATAAAGATCTATTATTTGTAGGACGTTTTTTGGAAGTATATAGTTGAAGGAGACTCAGAAATTCCTCGTAATAATGAAGAAGTTGAAATTTAAAATTATTTTAAATATTGTCAGGATAATGTATAAACTGTTGAATCGGTTTGTTTATTGTAAATTTTTCTTGTCTTACTGATCCGGTTTACTGTAAAACCAAATTAGTTTGAATATTGAGCCTCCCGATGAAACAAACATAATACTTAACAGATCAATTTTACACATTCAATTTTCGTGGTACTAAATATAAAGGTCCATCGTTTAATTAAGTCACTAAAATGGATAGAAGTAAAGAAGAATCCGAGATAGTTGTTACGACAATTCTTCAAGAAACTTTTACTCTAGAACCAAGCATGATATCACACCAAGACACTAATCATAATGAAGAAAAAGATTTCGCATGCGACAAGTGCCAAAAGAAATTTGAGTTTCGAAGTCATTTGAGTAGGCACCAAATATCAGAACACAAAAGACGCAAAGATTTTGCATGCGACGTATGCGAGAAGAAATTTGTGAAAAAATCGAATTTGTTTACGCACCAAAAATTAGTACATAAGAATCGCAAGGATTTCACCTGCAACAAGTGCGAAAAGAAATTTGAAAATGAATCAAATTTAATAAATCACAATAAAATATTCCACGAAGTTTTCAAAGATTATTTATGTGAAATGTGCGCGAAAAAATTTGGAAATAAACGAAATTTGCTCATACATATAAAGAGAGCCCACGAAGGTCCCAAAGATTATCTATGTGACAAGTGCGGGGAGATATTTAAAAAAAAATCGCTTTTGCTTTTCCACCTTAAGATAGTACACAATGTTTTCAAAGATTACTCATGTGACAATTGTGGGAAGAAATTTGTACATAAATGGTATTTACGCTTGCACAAAAGAACAGTCCACGAGGGTCGAAAAGATTACGCATGCGACAAATGCCAAAAGAAGTTTAAGCATAAACAGTTTTTGCTTATTCACCAAAGAACTGTCCATGAAGGTCGGAAAGACTACCCATGCGACAAGTGTGAGAAGAAATTTGGAGATAGAAGCAATTTGAATAAACATCAAAATACAATCCACGAAGGTCGGAAAGATTTTGAATGTGATAAGTGCAAGAAGAAATTTGGGAATTCAAGAAATTTAAAAAGACATAAAAATACTATCCACGAAAAACGCAAAGATTTTGCATGTGACAGGTGTGAGAAGAAATTTGGACAAAAAGTGCATTTACTCAAACACCAGAAAACAGTCCATAAAGGGCACAAAGACTTTGCTCGTGACTAATGCGAGAAGATATGATGATTGACGATTGTCAATATGTATCCATACTTCAACATATGTTATATAAAAATAGAATAAAATTTATGCTGAAATAATTGTGTTTTACTTATAAAAATTGGGCATTCGACTGTCATTAAACCTTTTATCGCTGTCGTGGTGGTGTTTTATTTTTGAACCAAATTTCGCATATACTACTAATTACTATTCTCCGTTCATTTTTTGTCCACTTGGGACCTGCGTTTATTTATGCAACGATGAGTCGAGAGTTTTGATACGTTTTTTTTGAAATTGTGAATGAGTCGATCGTTTAGTTGAATACTGGATTTCTTTTAAAACTTCACGTTCTCGTAAGAAGTTTTTCGGGAAGTGCTTAGTTTTAGAAGTCTGAAAAATTCTTCGAATGAATTTTCGCAAAATTAAAATTTAAAATTATTTCAAATATTGTAAGGATAATTTACACACAGATAAATCAATATCTTAATTGTAAACAATATAATCATAAACAATTTCAACATATAGTCCCCTGATACACTGATCATGTTATTCATGTTCATGTTAATAGTAAAAACAAATTAGTTTGAAGTTTGTGTTTGCCAATAAACTATAATATTAATAGATACATTTTACTCATTCAATTTCTGTGGCAATAAATAGAAAGATCCATCTTTCATTATAGGCACCAAAATGGATAAAATTGAGGAGATATCCGAGAGAGATGTCTCAGAAAATAATTTAATTGGACAGGACATTATTGTTTCAAATGAAAAACAATACATTTATGATATTCGTCAGAAGGCATTTAGATTAGAATCAAGCTTGATATCACACCAAATCACTAATCATAATGAAGAAAAAGATTTCGCATGCGACAAGTGCCAAAAGAAATTTGAGTTTCGAAGTCATTTGAGTAGACATCAAATATCAGCACATAAAGGCCGCGAAGATTTTCCATGCGACAGATGTGAGAAGAAATTTGTGAAAAAATCGAGTTTAATGTCGCACCAAAAATTAGTCCACAAAGATCGTGAGGATTTTAAATGCAACAAGTGCGAGAGGAAATTTGAAAATAAATCGACTTTACTGAAACACAGAAAAATTTTCCACGAAATTTTCAAAGATTACTTATGTGAAAAGTGTGCCAAGAGATTCGGAAACAAAAATAGTTTGCTCTTACACATAAAAACGGTTCACGACGGTCGCGAAAATTCCCCACGTGACAAGCGCGAAGAGAAATTTAGAAAAAAATCGCATTTGCTCATGCACATGACGACAATCAATAAAGGTCACACAGATAACATATGCGACAAGTGCAACAAGAAATTCGGACAAAAGTCTAATTTGCTTATACATAAAAAAGTAGTCCATGAAGGTCGAAAGGATTATTCATGTGAGAAGTGCGAGAAGAAATTTGGATATAAAGCGGTTTTGCTTTTACACCAAAAGACAGCTCACGAAGGCCTCAAAGATTACGCATGCGATATTTGCGAGAAGAAATTTGGAAAACAAAGTAATCTGATAAGACACCAAAACACAATTCATAATGAACAAAAAGATTACCCATGCAATAAATGTGAGAAGAAGTATATCGAAAAAGGTAATTTGATCAAACATCAAAAAATAGTTCACGAAGGTCGTAGAGATTTTCCATGTGACAAATGTGAAAAAAAATTTGGAGGAAAAAACCATTTGATCGATCACCAAAAGATAGTACACGAAGGTCGAAAAGATTTTGCATGTGACAATTGCAGGAATAAATTTGGACGTAAGTCAGATTTGTCGAAACATCAAAGAACAGTTCACGAAGGTCGGAAAGATTTTGCATGCAACAAGTGTGAGGAGAAGTTTGTAAGAAAATTAAGTTTGCTAATTCACCTAAAGACAGTACACGAAGGCCGAAAAGACTATGCATGTGACAATTGCGGAAATAAATTTGGACGTAAGTCAGATTTGTCGAAACATCAAAGAACAGTTCACGAAGGTCGGAAAGATCACCCATGCGACAAATGTGATAAGGAATTTGGGGATAAAAGAGATTTAAGAAGACACCAAAAGGCAGTACACGAAGGTAGCAAAGATTACGCATGTGACAAGTGCGAGAAAAAGTTTGGACAAAAATCGAATTTGTTAACCCACTTAAAGACAGTACACGAAAGTCGCAAAAATTACGCATGCCATAATTGCGAGAAGAAATTTGGACAAAAGGTGAACTTGATCAAGCACCAAAATTTAGTACACGACGGTCAAAAAGACTTCGTATGTGACAAGTGTGAGAAGAAATTTGGAAACAAATCGGGTTTGCTCATTCACCAAAGGACGGTACACGATGGTCGCAAAGACTACGCCTGTGACAAGTGCGAGAAGAAATTTGGACGAAAACCGAATTTGCTCAGACACCAAAAGGTAGTGCATGATGGTCAAAAAGATTTCGTGTGTGACAAGTGTGAGAAGAAATTTGGAAACAAATCGGGTTTGCTTATGCACCAAAGGACAGTACACGAAGGTTTCAAGGATTACGTATGCGACAAGTGCGAGAAGAAATTTGGACACAAACAGCATTTGCTTACCCACCAAAGGACGGTACACGATGGTCGCAAAGACTACGCATGCGACAAGTGCGAGAAGAAATTTGGACGAAAAACGCATTTGCTCAGACACCAAAAGGTAGTGCATGACGGTCAAAAAGATTTCGTGTGTGACAAGTGTGAGAAGAAATTTGGAAACAAATCGGGTTTGCTTATTCACCAAACGACGGTACACGAAGGTTTCAAGGATTACGCATGCGACAAGTGTGAGAAGGAATAATAATTGACAACTGTAAATATGCATAGATACTTATGCCCATGTTCTCTAAAATAAATATCTTTGAATAAAAATTATGCCCATTTATTTTTGTGTTGTACCCGAACCTCGGACGTTTAAATACCATTACAGTTTTGTTCACTGTGGCGGTGGTGCTTTATTATTTAACTAAGCAAAATTTCCTGTCCTAATAATTAGTACCCTTTGCTTATTTTTTAGCTTCTTGGTTTCTGCAGCTTTTGATATAACTGCCAGCCCACGGTTTTTTCATATCTTGTTAGGAGCTGTGAACGAGGAGAACTTTTAGTTAGATACTGGATTTTTGATAAATTTGGTAAAAGACTGATTATTTTTGCTATAAGAGACGTGATCGATAATACTAATAAGTTTTCCCCGAAACAACCAAAATGAAAATAATTTAATAATTTTATTCGAACTAAACACTAAACTCTAAATTTCTTCAAAATTATTGGCTCAAAGTAAAAATTTACTTATTTTACTATGCTTTACTATTCTAACTAAGCAAAAATCCGTGTAATATTGCGGTGCCACAAAACAATCACAAAAATCAATCGAAACGAGTGTTATCTGAATTTTTTAACAACGCAAAAATGATACATTATAAAAAAAAACCATCGCAATGGCGAATCTCTCGCGTCAATATAATCATCGTTACTTTTTGTTCAAAATTCGTCGATGCCTACCACCAACAACGACGTACCTGCTGCCACACACGCACGCATTAATGAAGATCATGTCTCCGAAGCGCGCGAGACTGTTAGTCGCTGTCGTGTGGGTGCTCAGCTTCATCATCTGCTTCCCGCCACTGGTCGGTTGGAAGGATCAAAAGGTACGTAGTATATAGCACATATACATATAACGTACACACGTGTAGATATATAGTCTGTCAGAGGGGGGTAGTAGAGTAGTTCGAGGGTAGGTACACTATGGAGTGTCAAAGTGCTCTGACCGTACACCACCGCCGCGCGCTGCTGCCGTTAATCCATTCGGCTCTCGGCGTACACGCATCATCAACTCCGCTGATCTTTGCCTAGGCGCGAGGCTTAACACGTACTACTACCACCACTACTACTACTACTACTACTACTACTACTACTACTACTACTACTACAGACAGAGTACATATATAATATAGATATAACGCATCTATATAATAGCTATTTCAACACGTGCTACGCCTGTCTGCGCGCGATCTAAAAACAATTAAAAGGCTTTTGGCTTTAATAATAGCCCCCGTTGAGTGCGAAATTATTCAATGAGCTTCGCCGCGCTGAACACACCCCCCGGACGGACGCGCGTACGCGTATAATACGTACATACACGCGCCGAACCATGTACTCCACCGATGATGATGATGATGATGATAATAACAATGCCCAAGTTCGCGAAAGCTGCTGCTACGTGGCAGGATGAAACTGCATTATGTTAATATTAATACTTCAGTAGTGGCGTTCGGAAATAGACAGAGCTCTAGCTCGCTGGAGCAGTATATGCGAGAGAGACAGCGAGCTTGAGTTGTAATTAATCCCCGGCTTAAATCGATCATGTTTCGTACGTTGTATATAACGCGCGCGAGCTGGTTAATTTTTTTTTTCCATCAATATCGCCAATCGAATTCGCACGATTATACGCCAGCCGAGCGAATTAAATATTGAATTCGATTCGATTTATCGGTCTTTTTCTCTTTTTTCTGCTCTGTTCCAAACAGGACGACGAGGACTTTTCGGCGAACGTCACGTCGTCGTCGTTTTTCGAGAGCAGCGACGATGAGCTGCTCTTCAACGAGACGATCTCGTGGAATTACACGACCGCCGCAGCGGTGGCCAGTGTGACGACCATCGTCACCGACGACGTCATCGTCAAGCCCTGCCCGTGGATCTGCGAGCTGACCAACGACGCTGGATATGTCGTTTACAGGTGGGTGTGGGTGTGCTTGCTTGCTTGCTTGCGCTTAGAAAAACTTGGAAACAAACGCAATCTTTGAACGAGATGGGAGACGAGGGAGGAGAAAACATGGTACATATACTCGAGTTTTAATATCACTTTTTTAATGCTTGTATATCACGAAAATTATTATCAAAGCTACGAGGCAACTTCCTATTTTTTTTCATAAAATAGTGTATATAGCGACCCCATCGTAAAGATGCGAGAGAGATGCCAAAGTCAGTGTAAAGATAAATATTTTTTAAGCGAATTTTTTTCCCCTCTCGTTTTTAACAAGTACTTCGTGGAGCGAAAAAAAAGTATACCTACACACGCGCATAAGTTGGGAAACGTCTATTTCTATAAAGTCGGGGCAAAACTTCTTTTTAACGTCCATCAACTATTTTTTCGATTAAACAAATGGACGTTTTGAGTATGTCTGCTTTTTGCATTAACAAAGAGTAACTTATTTCGTTGAAAATCGTAAAGTAAATTTCATTTTCCATGGTTTGTTACGGAATCAAAAGAAATAACGTAGTTATACGAAATGGATTAGCGAGTTCTCTTTGAATATCCGAATTCAACTGGTCAAACTGCGCGTTTGAATTTTTGGGGAGAAAGAACAACCGCGACGATTATTATTATTTAGTAAAATGTTCCGACGAATTTAATTACATCAACTGGCACGCAGCTTGTTAGAGAAAAGTTGTAGCTGCTGCCAAAAGGAAAATTGTTGAAAAAAAAAGGAGAGGAAAGGAAAGGAACACGCTCGTCGGGCTAACTTCGCGAGCAAACGTGCGCGAATTGCACCATCGCACGCGCGCGTGTGCATGTGCCGACAATTGAAATAAAAAAAAAAAAAAACAAAAAAGACAACTCGAATTTACGGGGGTGCGCGCGTGCAACTTTGTAGGAAACTTGAAGTTTTCGTTGCGGAAAATGCTCTATATATACTCACACAAAAGCATTTTGTAACAACACTGAATAAACATTTAAAAAGTAGGAGAAAAAGGGGTGGGAGAGATAGAAAAGCGCCGAGAGGTTGAATTTTAACGCCGCCGCTGCAGAACAGTGGGCTCGAATAAACACAATCAACGCGGCGCGCGTTCGCGTACACACATAGAACACGTACACAATTTAATACTCCTCCACCTTTAATCAGCGCACGAGTGGCTGGGGGGAGAGGGAGGAGTATAGGCGAAGGCACATGCAGACACACACATACCGATCCGCCGCGCGTGTTTCTTTCTCCGCTACCCCTCCGTTTTTGTTTTGATCTTGTCCTAACTCGCGCTGCTTAGCGACTGGGCTGTAATTATGCGAACCAATCGAGTAAAACCTCGTTTATCTATGCGTTGTATACACCGACGACGTCGAGTTCGTGACAATCGAAACACGTGTTTAAATTAAAAACAAAAAAAAAGAGGAAAATAAGAATAGAGCACGTGTTTTAATTTGAACGGTGGATTGATTCACGTGTACACTGTACACACTATACACGATCAAAAAGAATTGCATAGGGTACATGGACAAATTGATATTTGCATGCATTTATTCCGCAGCTACTCAAGGCGGAACGATCGGTGGAAAAAAGGAACGAGTACACGGGTACAAAATTAATGAGCCGATACCTCGTTAAACGCACTCGGCTTACTCGTAGAAAATTTGGCCTATAGACGCGGGAGAGTACGTCCTTGAATTAAAAAAGAAATATGAAGAAGAAGCAGTAGTAAAGAGACTGCAGCTGTATGAAAAAAAAGAGAGCCAAAACAGAAAGAGAAAGGGAATTCAGCTCGGGACGCATAAAAAGAGACGCGACGAAACGAACTTCAACCAAATTCGCGTTCGAGAGAGAGAGAGAGAGAGAGAGAGAGAGCTTTCTTTTTTTGCGCGCGATCCTTATATACAGAAAGACGCGGGGGGGTAACAAAGCCGCCCTTATCAATTCCTCCTTCTTTTTTCTCTCACTTCTTATACTCTCTCGAGCAGCTGCAAATTGCGCCGATTCTCATAAATTGTCTCCCGGGCGCCGAGAGAGATTCGTAAAAAAAAAAAGAAAAAAATGAATATCGATTCTCTCGCTCGGCACAAAAAGCGTAAAACTCTGTGATCAGAACTTAATCGTCATTCTATTTTTCGAGTGCAACGCTCTTATATACACCCTCGAGGGGTGCGAGGGGGCAACGCGCTCGCAGCGAGTTATATATCCCAACAAGTAGTTTATTTTACAAGCACTCGTATATATACTTATATAATACTACGGAGATGTATAGATATAGATATATCAATAAGGCATGCCTTTACACTTTTTGCGAGAGAGAGAGACGAGGAGAAATTAGGATCTCGAGTGCTTTAACGTCGGGGGCGTCTTTATATATTCGTTGTAACTATTAACGGCAAGATTTATGAGCTCGAACGAATGAACAATTTAATTAGATTCAATATTTTCCTTTTCCTCTCTCTCTCTCTCTCTCTCACTCTCTCTCTTTTTCTCTTTCTCGTAACACGCTCGCGAGATAATACATAAAGCGCATAAACTTATCCGCGGCTCCTTCCCGCCCACCCCCGCATACTACTGCGCGTAGGTATATATAGCACTGCAGCGCCTAGCGATCCTTATAACGACTCGAGCCACTTAGAGTCTCTCTCTCTCTCTCTCTCTCGTGCCGCCGGGGCTTTTTACCGAGCAGCGGCGCGGTGCAGAGCGCAAATCGATACAGCAGCAGTAGCAGTAGCACAACCGAGGCAGACATAGACACACACACACACACGAATGTGTGTATCGACATTACTGCAGCAGCAGCAACAGCAGCAGTGGGTAGAGCTCGCGGATCCCAACTTAAGCGCGTTGATTCGCGGTTTTGTCTCTCGAGGCGACATACACACGAGCAGAGACACACGCATGCACTCGACCCGCTTACAGAATTGCTTTCTTACTTCTTCGTCGTCGTCGTCGTCGTCGTCTTACTTCTTCGCGATTCCTCGAGCACGAGAGAGAGAGAGATAATTGAATGATTTAGTTGGCAAGGAAAAAAAAAGGAAGTAATATACTTTTTTTTTTCTCGTCCCTCGCAAGCTCTCGTGTAGTAGCATCGGTATTTTTATATTATACATTATTGTACGTAATTATAATTTTTATACAGTAGCTTTAAAAATTGAACAATTTTATATCCTTTCCCAAGTTTCATTTTTTGACGCATCCGAAGCCCTCGCTCGAACAGTGCCAGAGCTCGCTCTGCGTAAAGGTTAATTATTATCATTATTATAATACCAAGGTTGAAAATTTTCCCCAGTGCCACACAGACTGCGCAGACAGAGACAGGTGAATACCGCTATATATAGATATATATGCGCGCACGAGCTTGCGTACGGTCCTGCTACCGCTGCTACTGCTACTGCAGTTGCCTTTTATACAAAAAGCTTCTCTCGATCAAAGCGGAGAGCTTTTGACGTGGCGCGCGCTGCTGCCGCTGCTGGTGCTACTGCTCTTCGTGCGGCAATACACACACACGTACCCGAGCGGCGTACAAGGGACGTGGACGGAGATGGCAATTATATTTTCTCTACGTCAATGAAACGAAACTTAATGCTTAATTAAAAGTTCACAATTTATTTGATTCTCCGCCCCGTCGTCCTTCTATATAATAACTACGCGCTGTACAACGTTGTACGCGCGGGGGAGCCGTGTAATTTTTGCTCCCATTATTATCTTTTATTTTGTAATCTGCTGCCGGTCTCCCATGACGTTATCCATGAGGGAACTGCGCGCCGCGACTCGTAATTCGAGTAATGAAACAAAAAAAAGCGGGGGAGGGTAGAACAATTTTGAGCAAATATTTGAACGAGCGAATGAGCTTTTGATTCTTCTATGAGAATTTTCCATTGCAATAGTAGTTCGCGCAAAGTTACTAACAAATTCACGTTGCGTGTGTACACTCGCTCCTACACTTTCGTGTAATTTTGATGCATACATGCACAGCCGAATAATAACTGTTCCAGCAAAATTTTAACCGCGAGCGCTATGAAAGTTTCGAAATTCGACTTGTTGCGATGTATGTATTCAATGAATTACTTTATGCGCGCGAATTTTTACGATAATTGAAACTCGAACGAAACAAAATCCACCAGGCAAACTCGAGTTTATATAGCGATGTCGCGTTCGAAGTGTTCAAAGATTCGCGAGCTAATTGCAGCTAATCTCGCACGACACATTTCACTACGCATATACTCGTTGCGTCGAGCGCGCGATGTTTCCGGATGGCGCTTAAGTATTGCACGAGGCATTTAATGCGACCGGGATCTCATTATACGAAAGTCACGCGTGTATTAATCCAAAATTATACACGTAGATGACAATTTGCGCGCGCGGGATACGAAATAATAATAATAATAATAATTGTAATGTCACCCACGACGACGAGTATATAGTAGCGAGTTTCTTAACCGCCGATTAGGTTCGTATTTGCCGAATCTCGACACGTTTACGCAGAATTCTAATTGGACTACTTCATCCACCTGCTGCACTTGGTATAATTCGAATTAATATCAACGTCAAACGGGGACCGCCGCCGCTTCACCGACTTCATCGAATTATGACGCTGTATTTTGCCATTCCTAATAATTACGAATTCCGGCGCTGCTGCTGCTGCTGCTGCGTAAACGGCAGCAAATTCAGTATGAGTAGTCGAGCGAGCGACTCATTTTACACGCGTACACTACCTGAGCAGCGGCAATAAGCTCTCTCCTGAGGGGTGAATCGTACTTTTGCTTCCTCGAGTATTCTTAATTTCGTCTCATTAGTCATAGCAGCTCTCTAGGTACTGTTGGTGGTACTATAAGGGGTGCGACGAAACAACTTTTCAACTTCTCTCTCTCTCTTTTTTTTTTTGATTTCTTGTTTCTTTGACACGACGATCCCAACTTTCTTTAAGCCAACGCGTTGCGCTGCTCGGCTCTCTCTCTCTGCAATTTTTTTTTCTGCTCCTACTTCTTGATACTTTGAAGAAAGTTTTTAATTTATTTTTCAAATTTTTTCGCATTCAAAGCGTAATCTCTCGGTGTTGTCTTTTCTCGTTTGTCGCAGTGCCCTCGGATCGTTTTATATACCCACCCTGGTGATGCTGTTTTTCTACTGGCGCATCTATCACGCCGCAGTCTCCACGACCAAGGCCATCAATCGAGGATTTCGCACGACCAAGAGTTCGAAAATGATCGGATCGAGGTAAGCTCGCGCGAGCTCCTTCAACGAGTAATTTGCCCTTTTCTTCGCTGTTTTATTTCGTACTTTTGTCCACGAGCAGGTTCGACGAGCAACGTCTGACGCTGAGGATACACCGAGGCCGGGCGAGCGAGCAGCAACAGCAGCACCAGCAGCACAACAACGGCAGCAGTCCGCGCAGCAGCGCCGAGACCGCCCGCAGCAGTCCGCTGCGCCGCGAGCGCATCAAGATCTCGGTCTCGTATCCGAGCAGCGAGACCCTCAACACCAAGTGCAACAGCAGCGGGGGTGGCAGCAATCTCGAGCGCACGCCCTCGAGGTCCTCGCAGATGTCCGTGCAGTACGCCAACGGACAGACCCAGAGCCAGCTCGTCTGCGGCGGCGGCGGCGGCGGCGGTGGTGGCTTGTCGCCTTCCAAGAGTACACATTTGAAGGTGAGTGTAAGGCATTTAATGACTGATTCAACTACATTTCTGATAACACAGTTTTCATACCATCATGCACTGTATCGGTGTCAGTGCAGTACATTTCTCTTTTGTGTAAATGTTTCTCTGTATATGTCTCACGAAGTCTAAGTAAAGTTTGCCCCTGAATGAATGCAATTTGAATTACAATTTTGGTGTAATTTCAATGATATTCGACTCCCACTATGTATTACTGTACATAAGTGTGTATGACGTATGACCGCCGACAGTAGAGGGGGAAAGTATCCCAATCAGTAGTTCAGTCGCTGTTACAGAGCTAAATTAGCCAGCAGTAAGAAGTGTTTATATAGGATACCTATACTCTACTACTGATGTTATTTGTAAAGTCGAATTACAATACAGTGTTGACTACTCGAGGCTTATAACCTCGAATATATTCTCAGTGCCAATCTTGAAAATTCACAGTGATTTCATACAATAAAAGCTAGTGATGGAAAGTAAAGAGAACATTGTTAGGTATAACATTTTTGTTTATTTACTTCGTATTTTTTGGAGCGATCAATTCATTCTACTTGATTATTCCTCAGAATAAAACAAGACCCGGAAAACTCTTGGCCAAATGCGGACGACGATTATAATTTCGACTTGGTAGACTTTTGCAAAGACGAAAAATTGGAAACATTCACATTTACAGTGAGTTTAATGATTTAAATTATTTTCTGTTCTTTTTACTATCGACAACTATTACACGATTTTAATTTTAGGCAAACAACACGGGTGAGGTTAAAGAGTTACAAGAAAAGTTGGACCAAAAAATATTCGTGGATTTCGAGTGCAAATATGTTAAATCTGAACTGAAATTTGTTTTGACGAAAATCTGCAAAACTCAAGATCCAAGTAATCCACCAGTTGTGAAAATAGAAAACCAAAACCAGACAAATTATTTGAATGAAATATTGATTGATTTCGAGTGCAAAGATGTTAAGCCTGAATCGAAGTCTTTATCAACAACCATCTGCAAAACTGAGAATCAAAGTCATCCACCAATTGTAAAAATAAAAAAGCCAATTAAGACAAATTACTTAAACGGTAAAGATCTCATGACTATCGCAAACAAAGAATTCGATTATGATAACTGTCAAATTCAAGAAAATTCTCAATTAAAGCGGAGTTTGAAAAGCCATATTAATACGACGCATAATAGCTTCAAAGCGAATATCAAACCGGCTCCCAAGATCATTGGAGCACTTGAATGTAAAATTTGCAACAAGTCATTTGCAAACCAAAATAACGTTGAAAATCACATACTTACGGTACATAAGCGGAGCAAACCCTTTGAATGTGATATTTGTCACAAATCATTTGGATATCAGAATGTACTCAAAAGTCATAGAGTAACAGCTCATAATCTTGGAAATCCCTTTGAATGTAACATTTGTCAAAAATCATTTGGACAAAAAAGGAACGTAAAATCTCACATCAATGCAGTACATAATCATTACAAACCATTTGAATGTGAGGTTTGTCATAAATCATTTGCATACAAGAATAAACTTAAAAGGCACATAAATGTAGTACATGATCGTGTCAAAGCCTTCGATTACGAGATTTGTCACAAATCATTTGGACAAAAAGGTAACCTCAATATTCATATAAATACAGTACATCTTCGTAGCAAACCCTTCGAGTGTGAGATTTGTCACAAATCATTTGGACAAAAAAGTAGCCTCAAACCTCACATAAATACAGTACATAATGGGATAAAATCCTTCGAATGTGACATTTGTCATAAATCATTTGGATTCCCAAGTCACCTCAAATCTCACATAAATTCAGTACATGAACGTAAAAAACATGAACGTGAAATTTGTCATAAATTCTTTGGAGAAAAGAGTACCCTCAAAAAGCACATAAATACAGTACATGAATGTAAAAAACCTTTTGAGTGTGTAATTTGTTACAAGTCTTTCGGACAAAAGGGTAACCTCAATAAACACATTAATGCAGTACATAATCGTAGCAAACCCTTTGAGTGTAATATTTGTCATATATTCTTTGGAGAAAAGAGTACCCTCAAAATGCACATAAATGCAGTACATGAATGTAAAAAACCCTTTGAATGTGATATTTGTCACAATTCATTTGGACAAAAACGTACCCTCAACAATCACATAAATGCAGTACATAAACGTAGTAAACCCTTTGAGTGTGAAATTTGTCACAAATCATTTGGTCTAAAACATCATCTCAAATCTCACATAAACGTAGTACACAATGGTAACAAACCCTTCGTATGTGACATTTGTCAAAAATCATTTGGAAAAAAAAGTAATCTCAATAAACACATGAGTTCAGTACATGATCGGAGCAAACCCTTCTAATGTGCCATTTGTCGCATTTGGACTCAAACATTGCCTCAAATATCACATGAATGTTCATGAACAGAGCGAACTGTAAGAGCGCATGATTGTCTGGAAACAATTGAATAAGACATCTAAAATTACATTATTACACTAAGAAATGTTAAACATTTTATCAAATAAATGTAATTGAATTTCTCGAAGAACAATAAAGTTTTCAATACTGATATTGATTTTGTTGTTTTTGGAAAAAAATTCTACATACTTTTCTTACGTTAATTAAAATATAAACACTATTGTCCGAACTACTACATAAATTGTTTAGAAATATTTTTAGTTGAAATTGACTGTACTTGTTAATGATTCTACAATCCGATCAGACTGCAGTAAGGTTTGAGCTTTGACCCCATACTATATGGGTGTCGAGTCCAAGATGAAAGATCTATCAACTGACACCAAGAGCTATTCTCTGGCACCGTCTGGGTACGATGCGCGAGAGCTCAGAAGCAATCCTGAACGTTTTTTCCGCTTTTGCCCAGTTTTTGACGTGCGACTACCGCAGACACGTCTGTGCGCAAAGCATTTTGAAAACGTTATACTGTCTTCATTTATTGTCGATTGCGAAGAGGATAAAGCCAAAAAAACTTATTTTTCGATTTTTCATATAATTTAGGCAATTTTCTTAGAATATTTGAGCATTAACGATGGCAAAACATCAGTCAATATTGAATTCAAGGCCATAAACAAATAAAGGATTTGTTGAATATTTTATAAGTTAAAGGCAGAAACAAATTTTTTAATTTAATTTTACGGGAATTTTTGGTTTTTTTCACAATGTAGGCGTGTTTTTTATATGAATAGAGATATTTTTAAACAAATTTTTAGAAGGAAGGCTATTTGCCAACAAATTGGCATCGTCTTTTTTCTCACCGATATCGCGTGAGGCAATATGTAGATACGAGCGATAAAAATTTCCCAGTCGAACTTCGAAAGTTCCCAGTTTTTTCATAATTCTCCCTTCTCGCGATGGTGCGGTGGGAGAGCGCAAGAGCTCGCGAACAATTTTTTAATATAGAACATCAGAGATTTCACAGATGTCACTCTCGCGAAACTTTTTCTTCTTCTCAGGGAATTTTTTTTTCTCTCTCCCTCTCTCTCGCTCCCTCTCTCGCACTCTTCAACTACCAAGTATATCTTTACTGCCGGTAGTTTTCAAAAGTGGCAAAAGTGAAGTGTTACTCCGTTAAAAAAAAAAAAAAAGAACACACTCGCAAGTCGAATAAATTTCAGTCGGGATTAATTAATGCATCGCGCGCGCGCGCAACTGCGTTTACTATAGTCCACTACTACTACTACTACAACTAGGCAGCGAAAAGCTCAATCACGGGAGAGCAAAAGAGCGATTATTTAATTCGAGCTCGTGATTCATAATAAAATTACTTTTCATTAAACCTTTTTCTTCCTCGTCTTTTTCTTTCTTCCCTTTTCCTCGAGTTTCTGCGCCGGTACTCTCTCTCTCTCTCTCTTTCCGTCCCTCTCGACGAAATAGATCTCTCAAATGCTTTTTGCTGAATCGACGCTGATATAGGGCCATTAAGCAAACCACGAGAGCTAGCGGAGCTTTATGCTAGACTCTCTTGTCGTTTTTTTTTCTTTCTTTTTTTTTTGCTACCCCTCTGCCATTGCTTCTATCCATTTGACCGAAAAACCTCTTCTGTTTTCTCTTGTGATTCAATCTGCTGAGTAGCAATGAACTATACATGAAAAACACACCCACCGACAAACACACTGTGCGCAGCAGCAAGAGAAGAGAGTATGAACACGAGTAAAGCAAGCAATTCCTATTTCGCATAAGCTCAAAAGCAATCCTGGGAAAATTTAAATCTCATTTCATAGAGAGAGAGTGAGAAATTGAAAACAAAACGAAACAAACGCAAAAAAAATGACGTGCATAGCTATTCTCGTGCAAAATCAATTAACGAAATTTCATCTCTTAACATTTTTACATATGCATTCGACGACGACGACGACAACGACAACAAAAAAAGGTGGGAAGCAGCATGAGCCGATCGGGCAGCGCCAGGAGGCCCAGTCGTCGCAGCAGCTGCGAGAGCCAAGTGACCGGCGACACACACTCGCTGAGGGAATTGCAGCCCGACGGGGGCGACGAGAAGCCGCGCGTCACGAAGATGGGCAAGCGCAACATAAAAGCTCAGGTACGAAGCTCTTGTACAATATATAACGCGCGATTTTCGTGACTCGCGTGACAATGCGGGGGCACACGATTTATCGTGTGAAATTATTGTAAATTACGTAATTTACAAACAAATATCGAGCAATCCACGGGGCAACAGCGACAATCACGCGACGATTAAATAATGCCTTCGTAAATGCACGCGTTTGCAGCCCATTGGCACACGAACGCGCTCTTACGCTCAATTATGGATGCGCGCCTCGCCGCCTCCCGTTCACCCGATACATTTTTTAATTGAAATTTAAATACGCGCAGTTAACGAGACCGCGTGGCGTTGCCCGAGAGTATACGTACGCGAGTAATATTAGCGCATTGATTACCCAAACAGACTGCCTATGTATATATTTAAAGCGAAAGATAAAAAAAAATAAGGAGAAGAATTTGCCACATCGAGCACAGCGACTGCACTAGTTTAGTCTATTATTGCATTCAACGCTGCTCAGCGACGAGATTCGAATCATTTCAATTAGACAATTACAAACGACTCAATCAAATACCATTATTATAGTTACGGTTTTTTTTCCTCATTACACCCACCGCCGCAGGTGAAGCGAATCCGCATGGAGACGAAGGCCGCCAAGACCCTGGGCATCATCGTGGGCGGCTTCATACTCTGCTGGCTGCCCTTCTTCACCATGTACCTGGTGCGGGCCTTCTGCCCCAACTGCATACATCCCACGGTTTTCAGCGTGCTCTTCTGGCTGGGCTACTGCAACTCGGCCATCAATCCCTGCATCTACGCCCTGTTCAGCAAGGACTTTCGCTTCGCCTTCAAAAAGATCATCTGCAATTGCGTGTGCAAGCAGAGGGCTAACACGCTGAGGCGAGGCAGCGACGGCAGCCAGCTCGCCACGAGGTTAATAATGATGACTACGTTATGGTTAATTGACTTTTTTATTATCCCCTATACTACTTCTCCATCGTTGTGGTTGTCTATTTTTTCCTCTATATAAGTGTGTGTGTGCATTGTGCCAATTTTGCTCAGTTAAGACTATGTTTTTTATTGAATATTAATATTTATTTTCAAGTATATTGTTTATGGGAATGCGTTAACGATGGGACGTGCATTTTCACGCATTTTAGAAGTAAAACTTGGAGATATTTACTTTTAGCCGTTCGAGTTGATTATAATTAGTAAACATTCATTGGTTCAGTTTGAGATATGCCATCTTCGATATGTTGCTCGATTATACGAAGTTTGACAGTATTCAATTGTGGTTTTTATAAATGTGAACTTTTGACTGCTCTTTCATTATATTACGGTATGTATTAATTATTATCTTTCAGTATAGGACTGATCACTTCCTGGAACTATCTATAAAAAAATCCCTTTGATGTTTCTTGCCTAATTTCCAAGCATGAGTTTCATTCTCTAATTAACGCTTAGACTCTTTCCCCCAGTAGTCATCAGAGATTTCACGTTCATAGTAATCAATTTATCAAATCAACACCGAATGAAGTTAAAACAAACGAAGAAACTAAAAAATCTCATAAAACACTTTTGCAATTTTTCGGCATCCTCCTCAACTACCCCACACCGATCACCTGTATAAATCTTCGACGCTCGCCGAACTTATCGCCAAGATTTATTCCTCATTTTTCTCTCTTTCACCTATAGCCAGCCGCGCGCGCACAGCCAGCGCTATATATACTGACAAAGTTAATCAAGAGCGCGTGAGATAGAGACCCCCTTCTGTTTTCCTCGTGATTATCTGCGCGCACATTTGCAATAAATCAAAGATCCAAACTAAAATCGATAAAAAAGATTTTTCCATAAATCCTGCCCTCCCTTTTTTTGTACCTATCTAGAGATACCAACAACGGCACCAGAATGGCGGTCTTGTGCATTATAACGCGTGTCGGATGGGTAGAGAATCAGGATGAATCGAAAGTCCAAAAGTTTTCGTACTCAGATGCGCGCGAGCGCTCGCTCGCGTCGGGAACAAAAAAGAAACTTGTTCAAAGTAATCAAGAAGCTGCCCCCCCCCCCGAAGAAAGTTTTGATATGTGTAATTAAACCATGTGCGAGAGGTGTTGTAGTAACACGAGAGCGAGCGAGTACTCGCGTTAATTTATAAAGTCAAATTACTTACTTTTTGACATATCCTTGTGAATAATTAATGTTTACGTCGCGTAATTTACGTCACATCATTTACATTATAATTAATTAGCATATTATATAAATTTTATTTCAAGTACGTTTCGCTCGAGTACAAATAATTTCCTCGATGATTAATTATGCTAAAAATTGAAAGGCTCTCAGCAGTCGAGTCAACCCTTCTTTTATACGACGGAAATTGATCTATAGGAAAAACGTAGATATCAATTAAGGGACTCCGACCGATGATTTATTTGAGAATGATAGTTGCCCCGGCTAAACTTTGAAATAACTGCATTATATATGGTCGATTCTCCGTGAAATAGAAAGGCCGAAATATTTTTTTTAATAAAAAAAAACTTGTAGTCATAATTGCCATACATTCTTCCAAAGTTTATTCGAATTTTTGAGACCATTTATCATTTTTATGGGATATTTGAATGTAAACAAACGATTAATTGAATATACGATCGAGTAATTTTTTTAAATTCCGTTGAAAATAAATCTCTCGTGACTTTTTGATTCATCGACTGAAGTAGCCTTTCAAAGATCAACTATATAAATACACAATCACCATTATCACTCCCCAGACATCATCACCATTGAATGGCACAAATCCGATCGAAGTGGAGTCGAACCGCAATCTGTACATGTGCGCAAGCGAAGAACCCTTTATTTCTGGTTTCTATATCTAACTGTGCCAATTTGCCCTGAAAGCCTTGGCTTGTTCGTCGATGTAAATTTCTACCCTCTATATATAATTTTCAATGGTCTTGAAATCCTCAGCCCCTATGGCCAACCTATACCAAGTATTAGTTACGGAATGATTAAACCAAAATTTCTAATCGAGCAATTTCAACAACAACAACAAAAAAACACTACCAGTCGCAACGGAGAAAAATTGGAGCAAATGCATACTAAACCCCGGGCCCGATCCTCCTCTTCTTACGGCGGATGCGGCGGCCAACCCGGGGGACTGTTCTAGATTTCACATTGCAGGCACGATCAGCAGCAGCGCGGCTGCGGTCCTGGCCGTGGGGGCGCGCGACGCGAGCCGTCGCAGGGCCTTTCGCTCGAGGACTCCGACCCGGACGGACTGCAGTGCTGCGGCAGCGACGACGGCAACATCCACGCCCAGCTGCAGTCGTCGCCGAGCGACAGCAGATGACTGTAGCACCTCGGGTTCGGCGCGCAGTGCCTCACCCTGAGCCTGCTCGCGGTCAAGTCGGCGCCCACGTCCACGCTCGACGTGGATCGTCACGGTCACGGCGCTACCGCGGCTGGAGCCAGTGCTGGCGAGCCTCCGGGCTCGCGCAGGGTGTCGTTCGGCTGCGTCGAGACCCGATTCGGCGACGATCAAGCCTCCGTGCAGAGATGTCCTCTCAGCGACGACGATGGCGACAAGGACGATTCCGATCGTCGTCATCAGAAAACTAGCAGCGGCGGTGGCAGCGGGGATGCCTCTGCTGCCGCTGCCACTGCCAGCGACACGGATCAGCTCATGAGCTCGTGCGAGGACGAGCTGAAATTCAGCAGTCCGATCGCCGTACCGAAGCAGAGGGATCGAGCCGCGCCGGTGCTGGTGGCGCAGAGCCGCCTCATCGACGTGGACAACGACGAGGGACTGCTACCGAGAGACTGTCCGAGCACTACTACTACTACTGTTACTACTACTACTACGAGTACTGGTACAATTGCGACCGCTGCTGCGGTCGTTACTACCGGTGCTACTGCTACTGCTACTGCCACTGCCGTCACCGTCTGTTCGAATCCATTTTTGAATCAACCTACCGACAGAAGCGATTGATTTTATTCAACGTCCTAGTCTTCATAATGCTGCATTCCTGCCAGGTGAGCATAAATATTATACGTTATTCATTCAATGTTGTGAAATAACAGTAGTGTTAAGAAAAAAACTTAAAATTTAATGCATATTTAATTCAGACATTAGAATTCAAGTAAACGATATTAAATTCAATTATGCATGAAATCTTTGTTGAAAATGATTTTTCCAGTACTGATTCATTTTATTACATAACTTATAATAAAAAAATATTTCGCTACATACTATCAAAAAATTATTTTGTTCTAAAAGCAAAATATCTTTTGCTGATCCAGCTCTCCACTTTTACTGTAGCTTATACTAAAAAATTATCAGTGGGGACAAAAATGAAGGAAAATTTAATCATATATACGTTATTTAAATGTAAAATAAACTAAGAAAATTGTACTTTATAGTTAAATTTAAACAACGCATTGAAAATGAATATTTTTTACGTTAATTGACTGAAAACTTTATGAAAATTCAACTTAAATTTAAATCAGCCTTCGCCGCTAGATGGCGAGTACTCTTATCTGTAAATCTGCAAGTGACAAAATAAAAATAATTATATAAGTAGAAGCACGATTGAAAAAAATTTATCTGCTATGTTCGGAGAGTCTTACTTCAGTTTCTAGAGGGATGCTTTAGAATCTGAGAAGATCGATAAGCAAACAGATGTTCCAATTAGATTCGACGTTCATGGCTCATCTGCAAAGATACCTTACATATTTTTGAAACTCACGTCTAATTAATATAATACGATCAATTATTCAAACGTCATAATGAATTTTTAACCATAAAAGCTATAACTATACATATAAATCTTCAAAGTCTTGCGCGAAGTTAACTACCCATTTGAAACTTGGTGGTGCAACTTTATAAAAGCAGATGGTCTTAGAGATTACTCATAGTCTGCTTGAAGTTTATAAAGTTTCGAATTTATCAAAACTATGTAACTGCAAATGAAATTTATTATTTTCGAGATCAAACAAATATGTGCTCATTTTTACCTTATAATTCTATATTTTCATTAAAAAGTAGAGTTAATAAACGTACAAGTATTACGTCGCACAAAAAACTTTTTCCATTTTATTGTTTCAGAAAAAAATTTTAACAGTTTCAATGGAGCGACAACTCTGCAGACTTCATTTTTGGCATAATTAGGATAATGTGTATACTAAAGCATAAGTTTTAACCAAAAAGACAAAGCTGATGAACGAGCGTGCAAACAAAAAGAAGTTGTGCATCGTACCACAAATGAAGAATTGTGGCCTCGGCTAAATGCGTATACGAATGGCCAAAAAGCAAAAAATTTAACATTAAATATGTGAAAAACTTCGTAAACGTACAATTTATGCGTATGATCTTGAAAAAGTTTGCGTGAATGAAAATTGCTGTAGCTCGCGTTGTGTGCGTACACGTTTGTGAGCCGAGCACACGATATTTTTTGCATCGACGCGTTTTTACTCGTCTACGCAATATTTCCTTCAACAATATCGTTAAGGAGGCTTTGGAAACTCTCGATAAAAATAAAATTGTACAAACGAATTGGTCGTCGAGGGAAGAGACAGGAAGAATTGAAAATCGGCTGTAAATGTTTGCAATTTCGCATCGATTCCAATCATATCAATAGACCCTCAAGACTCGTGTATGACTTTTTGTTTTTAAAGTAGCACCAAAGCCTCCTTAACGCCGTTAACAAACAAATCCATACGTACTCAAATGTTCCTCGAGTTGAAATATATCATATATCATAAGAAACCTTAATTAATTCTCGTATACGCGTCGTTTTTTTTTAACGGTGCGAAACGTTCGTATCATCGTCTGTCGACGACGCATTTATCGAAAATTCGATTCAACAAACATGTTTTTTTTCTACTTTACGATTGTATATATTTTACCCCGAAATATCATGTAATGTAAAATCTACCGACCGAGAAGACGAGTGCCACACGCAAGCACACGCGAATCCAAAAATGAAAATAAATAAATAATTATAATCTGTATATAATAATATATGATAATGTAATAACATGTATACAACGCGTTATACGAAAAAAAACATAAAACATGATATTCCTGTGTGCATAGACGCATAATAATCATTAATGACGTAATTATACCGAGTGGTAGCTGGAAATATGTTTCTGATGGTTGAAAACCGGATATTTTCGTACGTACGGTTGGTGCAATGTGTGTGTGTGTATGTGTGGATGTGTAACTTTTTCCCGACGTTCGAGCGTACGTTACATAAATTTATGTACGCTAGAGAAAAGTTGCTCTGACAAAAATATAATTATAATATACATATACGAGATAAACAATAAAGTGAAAAATATTATACATGTATAGAGAACTGCTGTGCGGTGGACGCGACGTTATACATACACGTATCGACACTCTGTATCATACGATATTTATTATACACTCGCATCTATTATTATGAATATACAATTATACACTGATAATGAATTATTACGTATACGTATATACACCGTTGAAAAGGATGCATTAAATAAGAAAAAAAAAGTATTTCGTGTGTGTTGTATAAACGTGTTTTTGTTAAATACTTTTTCCCGCTTCACGATGATGAACCTCGGACGAGCGCGATATGATATTATTATGTATTATTGTACCGACGATGATGATATCTGCCTTTTTTTAAAAATTGTTCCAAGAACGCCGAAAAAAATGACAAAAAAAAAAAAAAAAATTATGAAATACCGTTTTGACGAAATTGCGCTCTATTAACAGGTTAAACGTGAAGAATGTTACTAGTGTTGTAAAAAATAATCTACTAAAAATAAAGAATGTTGTGCTAAATTGACAAAACGATCGTGATCGATTGAAAGTTAACGAAAAAAAAAAAAAAAATGCAATCCCTCTCCCATCAACCTCGGATATTTACAGAACAAAAAAAGGCAAGGAGCAGGTAAGAAGCGTAAGCGAGAGTCCTGTCGTTGGGATCTTACACACTACTATGGAGCTAGTTTCTCGTCGTCGTCGTCGTCGTCGTCGTCCCCTATAACCACTCATCTAGCTCTATATATCCAATCTTGGCGTCAATTAAAACTTAGTCTTGGGGTGGTACACGTACATTATATATATATAGCGGTAGCACACATACACACGTACAATATGCTTGTGTGCTATATAAGGAGTCGCAGCAACAGCAGCAGCAGCCCCGGTGCATCGATCTTCACTCTACTGCTCGCTCGTTCGCTCGCGCGAGCACTAATGACGCCGGAAGCTTTTGGAAAGGCGCAGCAGCAGCAGTGGCAGTGGTATAGTCGTATAGCAGTAGTAGTACGTACGGCACAGACAGACGACTGCCACGTTTACGATCAATGCCAAAGCGTTTCGCTAAGTTGGCCGGGGGACGGGACGCAACGGGAGGGAGGGAAAAGTTTTAGAAAACTCACGCTTGAACTTAGGTCCAATGTTGCTGCTGCTGCCGCCGCCGGAGAGTAATTAGCTCCGTGGTATTTTTACGAGGATGCGCCAGTACAATGACCGACAGGTGTCTCCTCGAGTAGAGGTAAATACATATATGGCGTATACATATAGTGTTTATACATTTACGTTGACAGGAGATGTGTGTCGGTAATTATAAGCTTAACGCGATTACGTCACCCCCGCACTCACTCCTCTTCGGAGCTCTTCCTCATCTTCGGATAGGTATTAGAGTGAGGACGACGACGACGTCTTCGAGCTGGAAAATCAACATCGTCGTCATTGACAATATTAAACTGTTAACCCCCCTATCCTCCTCCTCTTCATCGACACTTCTGTCCTCTTTATTTTTTCTTCTCTCTCCTCCTTTTTTTTTTATTTTAAACGAAATTTCGATCTAATATCTCGCTGGCATCTCTCCTCGAAGTTGACTTCTCTGATTTTCCCTATCTCTGGCCTGCTGCTGCAACGACTTTTATATATATAAAATACGTGTGTAAAGTACGAAGGCAAACATTTGGCCTTCGTCACAGATTTTCTCAATCATTGCCAAGTCTCTCTCTATCCATCTCTCTTTCAGGCGCGCGCGAGCGAGCGAGCGAGCGCTCGTCCCATGGATTGGTTTTATTCGATTTTCATCGGGAAAATTTCGACCTTAAATACGTTTACTCAAGCGCGTGTTTTCATTCGTAATTCGCACGCGCGCGCACGCGCGTAATAATGCGCTTATTTTTGCGCAAAATGTTGGTTTTATTAACGACTGCGCGCGGCAGTGTTAATAGGTACAAATCAGATTAAATCGAGTATTTAGTATTTTGCTCTCTCGCTCTCTCATTGGATTGGTGCTTTTTTGCCCTGTCGGCCGGTTGATAATTAATTAATCGAGAGCAGCGGCAATTCTCACCGAAAAGAAACACAGCTATGTAACACTGCGCACCGCACGAAACACAGATCGTAAATCAGAAAAAAAAAGCTCGGAACGGAGCGAGAGACAGAGTGAAAAAAGTCAAGTGGCTATAAATAAGTGTGTGGACTGCCAACTCGTACTTCAACTGTTCCGATAATGATAGCAGTTGCTCCGATATATAGAAAGCTCAATTGCTCGATGGCCATCCATCTCAACCGCAGCTCCTCTCGCTCTATCTATCTATCTCTCTCTCTCTTTTCCGCACCAGAATTTTCACCCTCGGAGGCAGAGAGAGAGAGAGAGAGAGAGAGACAGGAGTGTGAGATGGTACAGACTTACGAACGAACGAAGGGCGTGCGCGATTAAAGCCACCGCCCGTGTACCAGAGAGAGACTGTGTGTGCGACCTATTTCGCTTAACGCCTTGCTAATTCGATGAACCCTCTCTCTCTCTCTTCTCTCTTTCTCTCACTCTTCGTTCTATAATTGCATATATTCTTCGGGGCTGATGCAGAGAATTAGGCCATTGATGACTTTTTTAAAGCTTTAAAGCTACTACTTTTCCTTTTTTTTTCTCATTTTTATTTTTCCCTCATTTTTTTCGTCGTATAAAAAATCTCAGCTAATTGTTCTTCATCCGCTTTTTTCTCCTACCCCATCCTCGCGATTC